TCTCCTTGGTCTCTGGTGGATAGTGGTCTCATTGGCGATCATACCACCTCTCCTTATTTTCATATACGTCATTCCAAGTTAATCTTAACAATCTCTAAAGAATCTTATGATATCAATGAACTTATTTTTCGTTTATCGTTTAAAATTAATCATAAACCAAGCAAGCAGCTTTTCGAACCAAAATCCCAAAGTAATAATGTTCCTATCCTAATCAATATTGGATTTAAAATGATAGGATTACAAGCAAACCGGAAACAAGAATATTAACTAAACTATATATTTATAATCCAGAAACTAACACGGAGAAACAATGAAAATTAAAAGGAATTATACATGAGTAATATTGTAAAAAAGAAATTTGCTTAATAAAAACCTAAAGATTTCCGGGCAAAAAAAGGCATTGCATATTTTTACATATTGGAAGATAAAATTCAACTATCATATATATAATATTACAATTACGAACAGTATTGAAATGGGACGAAGATTTTTTATCGTATTGCATTTATGTTATTTTGTCTAAAACGTTCTGTTTTATATGCTTGTATTGGCTCTTGTTATAGCATATGTGTTGTCCTTGCGATATCAACAGTATAACAAAATCACCAGAAGATTATCTCTTGTTAATAGTATAATAAAATAACCAGAACACTATCCTTTGTTACAGTATATTATAATCATCAGAACACTATCTCTTGTTAATAGTATAATAAAATAACCAGAACACTATCCTTTGTTACAGTATATTATAATCATCAGAACATTATCTCTTGTCAAAATTATACTATAAACACCTGAACACTATCTCTTGTTAATAGTATAATAAAATCACCAGAACACTATCCCTTGTTAACAGTATATTATAATCATTAGAGCACTATCTCTTGTTAATAGTATAATAAAATCACCCGAACAATATCCCTTGTTAACGGTATATTATAATCATCAGAACACTTTCCCTTTAACAGTATATTATAATCACAAGAACACTTTCCCTTTAACAGTATATTATAATCATCAGAACATTATCTCTTGTCAAAATGATACTATAAACACTTGAACACTATCCTTTGTTAAAAGTATATTATAATCACCAGAACACTATCCCTTGTTAACAGTATATTATAATAATCAGAACATTATCTCTTGTCAAAATTATACTATAAACACCTGAACATTACCCTTTGTTAAAGTATATAATAATCACCAGAACACTATCCCTTATTAACAGTATATAATAATAACCAAGAAACTATCCCTTGTTAACAGTATATTATAAACACTAGAACATTATATCTTGTTAACAGTATATTATAAACACTATCCTTTGTTAACAGTATAACAAAATCACCAGAACACTATCCCTTGTTAACTGTATATTATAAACACCTGAACACTAACCCTTGTTAATAGTATAATAAAATCACCAGAACAATATCCCTTGTTAACAGTATATTATAATAACCAGAAAACTATCACTTGTTAACGGTATAATAAAATCACCAGAATCATATCCCTTGTTAACGGTATATTATAATCACCAGAACTCTATCCCTTGTTAACAGTGAAACACGTCTAAAATACGTTTTTCATCGACTAAAATTCTATTCTGTAGTGAAATTCACAGTTTTGACGTTGTGCAAGACTTAACTTTGGTTTGGACTATTGATGACACGACTGTTTAAAATCAAGGCGATATAAGAATGTAAGAATACATGATTTCTATTTCATCAAATTAATATAACTTAATGTTTTGCTTACATTATGTGATACAATATTATCTAATATTGGCTATACTTGCAGCTGTTTTTTGTCGCCTGTAATACTGATATAAGTGAAATTAGTGTTTTTCTATATTGATCCTCATTATACCCCTGAACAAGACTGCGAGATTGCGTTATTCTCTCTACCTTTTCTTAAACAACTGAACAATACTGCAAGATTGAATTAAGCTCTCTACCTATTGCTAAACCTCTGAACAAGTATTGCGAGATTGAATTATTTTCTCTCCCTTTTTTTAAACCTCTGAACAAGACTGCGAGATTGCCTTATACTCTCTACTTTTTGTTAAACCTCTGAACAAGACTGTGAGATTGCATTATTCTCTCTACCTATTGCTAAACCTCTGAACAAGTATTGCGAGATTGAATTATTTTCTCTACCTTTTTTTAAACCTCTAAACAAGACTGCGATATTGCATTATTCTCTCTACTTTTTGTTAAACCTCTGAACAAGACTACGAGATTGCATTATTCTCTCTTCCTTTTGTTAAACCTCTGCACAAGACTGCGTGATTGCATTATTATCTCTACCTTTTGTTAAACCTCTGAACAAGACTGCGAGATTGCCTTATACTAGTACTCTCTACTTTTTGTTAAACCTCTGAACAAGACTATGAGATTGCATTATTCTCATTACCTATTGCTAAACCTCTGAACAAGTATTGCGAGATTGAATTATTTTCTCTACCTTTTTTTAAACCTCTAAACAAGACTGCGATATTGCATTATTCTCTCTACTTTTTGTTAAACCTCTGAACAAGACTACAAGATTGCCTTATACTCTCTACTTTTTGTTAAACCTCTGAACAAGACTGTGAGATTGCATTATTCTCTCTACTTTTTGTTAAACCTCTGAACAAGACTGCGAGATTGCCTTATACTCTCTACTTTTTGTTAAACCTCTGAACAAGACTGTGAGATTGCATTATTCTCTCTACCTATTGCTAAACCTCTGAACAAGTTTTGCGAGATTGAATTATTTTCTCTACCTTTTTTTAAACCTCTAAACAAGACTGCGATATTGCATTATTCTCTCTACTTTTTGTTAAACCTCTGAACAAGACTACGAGTTTGCATTATTCTCTCTTCCTTTTGTTAAACCTCTGCACAAGACTGCGTGATTGCATTATTATCTCTACCTTTTGTTAAACCTCTGAACAAGACTGCGAGATTGCCTTATACTAGTACTCTCTACTTTTTGTTAAACCTCTGAACAAGACTATGAGATTGCATTATTCTCATTACCTATTGCTAAACCTCTGAACGAGTATTGCGAGATTGCATTATTTTCTCTTCCTTTTTTTTAAACCTCTGAACAGGACTGCGAGATTGCATTATACTCTCTACTTTTTGTTAAATCACTGAACAAGACTGCGAGATTGCGTTATTCTCTCTACCTTTTGTTGAATCACTGAACAAAACTGCGAGATTGCATTATTCTCTCTACCTTTTGTTAAACCCCTGATCAAGACTGCGAGATTGCGTTAATTTATCTAATTTTTTTTGTTCCATCGATCAAGATTGAGATATTCTTTATTCAACTGATTAAGGTTGTGAGAATGCGTTACACTGAACCTTTCTCTATTCCACTGAACAAAATTGCATTAAGCCTGTAACTTGTGTTATTCAAATTATCGAGATTGCGTTATTTTGAACCTTTTGTGATTCAACTGATCAAGATTGCGAGATTGCGTTATTCTGAACATTTTGTTATGCAACTTATTCTTTGAACCTTTCGTTATTGAACTGAATAAGATTACATCTATTATTCAACTGATTGAGATGATAAGGGAAGGGTTGAGAACTTACAAAACTACGGGGCAAGTAAACGTGGCTGTCCCAAGTCTAAAATTTCGTCATGGATTTTGTTTATATCTTAATGTTCATTGTACATTAAAAACATTGGTGTTGATTGAATATCTTTGGTAGTCTCTGATGCATTTATTCAAAACGAATGTCGACGCTGTTAGGTTGCTGAATCATTGACGTGCACCAGCACAACTGATAGTGGAGTTTTGAAAAAAAATATATATCCAAGAATATAATATAGCTACAAAAATAGGAATCTATGAAAACGTATAAAACATTTAAACCTTTGAAATTCGTATGGTCATATATAAATCAATTAGTCTTAAATCATAACATCAGAGAAATCGTAGACTTTAGGGTACAATTACACTTCAACAATTCGTTCTTCGCAATGTTAAAAATTGTCACCGTAAGTCATATATAAATAAAACAGACAAGCTGAAGTGAAAGCTTTTACATTGTTTTGTCAAAATATAGAGAAAAGTTAATAGAGTATGACAGTCATGATGAGATAACGTATGGCACCATATTGTTGATGACGTTAATGGCACTTTCCCGGAGAATTAATAAAGATCACGTGACCAAATAATGGCATTTCAAAAGAACAATCTGTAAAAACAGCACTGCAGGAGAAAATATGTACATACATATGAGAAACAATTTAATTGACAGAAAAGGAAATTTTTGGTACCTTCATTATGGATTGGTTTTCAGCAATGTAGATTTTTATTAAATCAATACTTGCTTGAAGTCTTTAGCTTTCTATGTTGTGTTTTGTATACTGTTGTTTATCTTTTGGTCGTTTTTCGCATTTTGACGTTGCGAGTTTTTTCATCGACTTCAGAGTTTGATTATCCCTATGATATCTTCCGCCTCTCTCTTTAACATTTAAAGAATGAAGACAGCTATAGTTTTTCTGTATATAACGGTTCACGTTTTCCTAATTTTGTAAATTTTCTAGTTTTTTTAAGTTTACACTTCATGTTTCGTGTCAGTTTTCACCCCCTGTTGAAGCTTTATAATATCAAATCAATATTAAACGTTATTGAAGTTCGCATTTTATTAATTGTCTGCCATGACTAAAAGGCGATAGAAAGTATTTTGACAGTAAAATTACACCAAAAGACACTTTGAGGTCAGTCTGCGGTCGTTAATGATACTGAAGTTTTGATATCATATGTCAAGAGCTATTAGTTTCGAATCTACACAACTTGTGGGTGTATTCGTCAAAGACTACCAAAGATCTATTAGTTTCGAATCTACACAACTTGTGGGTGTATTCTTCAGAGACTACCAAAGATCTGCAATCAACACGGAATACCTCGATGTACAATACATCCCATGTCAAGCTCTCAATCAACACGGAATACCTCGATGTACAATACATCCCATGTCAAACTCTAAATCAACACGGAATTCCTCGATGTACATTACATCCCATGTCAAACTCTAAATCAACACGGAAAACCTCGATGTACAATACATCCCATGTCAAGCTCTAAATCAACACGGAATACCTCGATGTACAATACATCCCATGTCAAACTCTAAATCAACACGGAATACCTCGATGTACAATACATCCCATGTCAAACTCTAAATCAACACGGAATAACTCGATGTACAATACATCCCATGTCAAACTCTCTGAAATCAACACGGACTACCTCGATGTACAATACATCCCATGTCAAGCTCTAAATCAACACGGAATACCTCGATATACAATACATCCCATGTCAAACTCTAAATCAACACAGAATACCTCGATGTACAATACATCCCATGTCAAACTCTAAATCAACACGGAATACCTCGATGTACAATACATCCCATGTCAAGCTCTAAATCAACACGGAATACCTCGATGTACAATACATCCCATGTCAAACTCTAAATCAATACGGACTAACGGAATACCTCGATGTACAATACATCCCATGTCAAACTCAAATCGTCCCATGTCTAGACAAACCCTGATTGGAATCAGAAGAAACTAATAAATTTTGTTCATCTCTTAATTCCGTAGTGAACATTCACAACCACTAAAAACTTAACAACAAACACTGACGAGGATCCTGGCGGGGGACATGCGCATTACAACATGCCGGGGCTAACCAAAGTCAACCATTGACAAGGTTCCTGGTGGGGACAGACACATTTAAATATGTTGAGGCTAACCAAAGACAAACACTGACGAGTTTCCTAACTTACTCATAATATAACATAAACCTCGCCTCGAACCTCTCCAATGGCTGTCTTTGGTTAGCCCCGACATATTTTAATGTGCCTGTCCCACGCCAGGAACCTCGTTGATGGTGTTCCTGGGTTAGCCCGACATATTTTAATGTGCCTGTCCACTGTGGATTCTCAATATATAGATGTAACACAAAATATCAAATCAAATAAGCACAATTAAAAGTATTTTAGAAATAGTTCTAACCTTAATAATATCATTATTGCAAACAAAAACAAGATAATAAATCTCCGAAGGGAGCTGAAATGATATAAGGGTCGATTTGGATCTGTACACTATGGCCTTGGCGGCGACAAACATTCCTGTCACATGAGTCTGCGAGAAACGTTAAAAACAAAACAACAACCAAACATACAAATATAATCCGTTCTTTGCAGACTTACTGTTCTTAATAAATCATATTTATATATCAAAATAATTTATGGGACCGTAAAAATTGGATCGAAGCGGGAGTGAGTCACGCAAAATTGTGGCGAACAAGTAAAATAAACATGCCTCTTGTTAAAACCCCAAAACCTTCGGGAGCTCACCATGCCCCTTTACAAACGGAAAAATTGCTGAATTTTTCGTTTCCGTTCTCTGACTTTAGTTTGCCTCAACCAAATGTTATGAAACTTGTACACAAAAATCTTATTACCACAAAACACAGATCAAGTTCGAATTTTGGTTGCGTCACCTTTACCGTTCTAGAGTTATACCCTTTTACAAAAAGAAAAAATCCTGAAATATTTGTTTCTGTTCTCTAAATTTAGTTTACCTCAACCAAATGTTATGAAACTTATGCACAATGCTTATTACCACAAAACTCAGATCAAGAACACATTTGGGTAGCGTCACATTTACAGTTCTTGAGTTATATCCCTTTATAACGTTATATGCAAGCGGGGGCATCGAATGTGTCCATGGATGGACACATTCCTCATTTATGCCAATCTATAATCAAGGGTCCGGAAAAGGGCTTCCAAAAAATATTTGAGCCAGCCGGACATTTTATATCTGATCCCGATTTTAATCCCTTAATACTTAGTAACAAAAGGCAATTATAGTTACCATTTGGCCTTCAACCAATGATTGACATTAAAAAAAAACGATATTAAACTTTACTTTGATATAAATTCGATGTTCTGACGTAAACTGTTAAATTGACAGTGCATCATTCGAAGTGTGCAACATCAGCGTACTAATATCTGCTTTAGACTCAGTCATTAAATGCGTGCATGTAGTGGTAACGAACCCAATCATTTTAATATATTAATACAATTTATAGATTGTGATCTACGAAACCAATATTCTGAATTTCTGGATGACATGATTTTGACATAAAACTATTTCAAATCGGATTAGGACTCAAGAAATTGTGTCAATAATAAGACATAAACGTTAGAAAGCTGTCTGTTTAAAAACAAGGAATGGGGGAAATTTATCTTCATTGAATTGTTTATCTTGAACATGAAAAAAACCAAATCGTTTTATACCTCCCATTTTTGTCATAACATTTGCCTTTTTATAGGCAAAAAATACATTTTAAATCATCTTTTATAAATTGGGAAATGAACGTGTTTTCGAAAACTCCAACATACATATTTGTGTCAAGTGTTTTCAAGGACGCTCAACAACGTTGATCGAGATTAATAGTGGAAGCAAGAATGTAAAATTCTTCTTCTTTAATATTATCAACATTTTTTCTAGCACCAATTTAAACATGTTTGTGTCTACTTGATAGAAAAAATCTTGACAGATTAAGAACACAAGACGTTACAGTGTAGAACATTGATAATTACGGTAATTTGATCGGCAAAAATATAATTAAACGGCAGGCTTTAGGTTGACCCCTTGGAATATTATTGGCCTTTTTTGGTTGTTATATAATAGTCAAAAAATTTAATACAAAAGTACTTCGCCGAAAGTATATGTAAATTGTATCGCATATATGATAGATCATCTGCGTTTCTTGATATGAAATTCGAGATGCAGTACACACTACTAGTTTTCAAACCAGAACAGCCAATCAGAATAAACATTGGTTGAGAATTTTAAATCCAATGCATAAAATGAAATATGTATTGACAATTCACTATTGTTTTACAAGTTGATATTACATGAAATCAAAGTAAACACACTGTATGATATTGTTTGTGAATCATGACTGCTTTCTTCGTGAACATTAAACGATGAAAACACAAAAAAGAAAAAGAAAAGAAAAAAGAAAACCCAAAGATGTGTAAAAAAAGGGGGAAAAAGATAACATGATACTGATTGTGAATACTGCTTTCTTCGTGAACATTTAACGCTGGAAAATCAAAAACAAGAAAACGAAAAAAGAAAAAAGAGAAGCCAAAGATGTGTAAAAAAAGGAGGAAAACATAACAAGAAAGCAATCAAGCACCGAAAGTCTAGGACAGAATACAGAACCAAAAAACGTCGAAAGAAATAACAACGGCCAACAAAACACTCCAAAGAAAATTAAAGAATGATCAACACTAACCCCATAACAAAAGCTGCTGTTCCACTACTGACACCCTAGCATATACTGTATAGATCAATGAATTAATAAATAATTAAAACATATTTTGAAATACATTATCTCTTATTTTCAATTTTTGTTGTTGATATCTATTTTTTATCAACATAGCATCAACGAAATTAGAAAGACAGCTCAACTGGCAACTTATAACATTGTTTTCTTTAGTTTCTCCACTATATATTCAATTGTTTTCTATTGTATCTGGTACCTTGCAGTCTATTTTCTATGTACATAGTGATATGCTATCTCTTGGGGGTTGTAATCTTACAAAAGAAGCTTTTATCATATTACATAATGAAATTTATCCAATGATGATATGCTCAACTTCTTGTTTACATCCAAAATGATTTAAAAGTCAATGACTTTGATATCGTTCAATAACACAGATACTATTAATCTGCTCCTGGAAAACACAGTAAGTCTACAAATGATCTGAAATGAATGAAATTATACTTATGTTTGGTTTTAAATTGTCGTTCAAATGATCATTTCGGGTCCGTAAGAACGTCGTTTAAGAAACCTTGCTTTAACTGTTACTTTTTTACTTGATAACATTCACGTAAACATATAATTGTAAATTGCATTTCATAGAAGAACTTAATTAGCTTGTTTTCCCATACATATTTTACATTCCTTTAAAAGTCTCTGAAATGAACTAGCCTGCAGTATTCTTTTTACGGTCTTATAACATTCTTGTTAGTACAAAAGAAACAGAATATATATACTAATCAACAAACGTAACGATACACAATTAAATCTTGAATTTATCATTGAAAATGTGAGTATTGTCGCCTATGGAAGAATAAATATTACAGTTTTCCCTACAAGGTATGTTAACAAAACATTCATCATGTGTTTAAATTTTCATGTAGGTCAAAATCCAATCGTTAGAACTACCTACGTATTGATTAATTCTTGTCTATGATTGTCATCATGATAGATATTAAGAATTGAAATACGGAAATTGATTTAATTTGCCAAAAACGTTTTCCGATAAAGTTCCCTAAAGCATAAGTTTATAATATATGTAAATATACATACCTGTTTTCTAACGTACAGCATACACGATTTACACTTACTTGAACAGAAAAGCATAAACCGCTGGTAAAAAATTCTGATACACAATCCTAACATGAATAAATTAGAAAAGAGCGTTTTTGGAAACATTTTCAAAAATATCTTGTATGACATAACGAGCATAGACTAACCAAGAAGAAAATTGGAGAAAAAAAAATCACATACTGTGTGGTTTACTGATATGATCGTTATTTTCTATGTTGAATGAATTGTTTCCATTTTTGTCATACCGGTGCTTTTAGTAGACTACTATGCTGTATGGTCATTGGGTTTTGCTCATTGTTGAAGGCCTTACGGTGACTTATAGTTGTTTATATTCTCGTCCTTTGGTCTTTGGTGAATAGCTTATACCACATCTCTTTATCTTTTTATGTGACTTATTTGTCTGATCATTATAACAATGAAAACAATACAATATCAATAATTCAGTAAAGAATACAATATTACGAAATATAAACCATTTGTGTTCAAATATCCAATTTTGTCTCAAATACAATAGAATATTAAACCAATATATCAAAAATGTGTAATTCTAGAGAATACATTACTGTAAGAGTATTGTGTAAAAGTCATATATATAATCTCGAAAGAAATAAGACAAAAATAAGTTATAAAACATTTACATTGTATCTAATTTGGAACTACCAGTTCTTTTTGTCAAAGACGACTATAAATTATCGTTACATAACACGAGTAATGCGACGGATATTACAAATTGAGCAAAGCACAGCTTACCTTTCGTGAGCATCAAGTTTTTATTGTGGTTCATATAGTTCAATATCTAGTTTCCTGTGTATGTTTTAACTGTTGTTTGTCTCAAATGTATATGGAAAAAAATATAACCCAGCAATGCCATGTGATATGGTATTAAAAATGTTGATACAATTTTTTCTTATCCACGGATTGAATAAGGTTAAAACAAAACTGCATTATTTGTATATTGTGCTTACAAAACTAACATAACCCAAGAGCCAAATGTCACGTAATTATAAAAGCCCACTGTATATTTTTCCTACTGAAAATGTTGAATAGTTCTTTTGATTCTAAGTTTATCGTTACCCATAATTGATAAGAGTCGATTTTGAAGAAAAAGTCTTATCGCAGTGATGAAATAAGTTTTGCGTAATTCTATTAACATACAACTAGAAATTAACTGCAGATATTCTAGATTACCAAA